AACTGTACCTTGACAGTAACCACTGTTCAGAAGGTAAAATCGTGGTGTTTTTTGTTTTGTTTTGCTTTTTAAACTTTGAATATATTTCATGGATTGGCAGCCTGGCAAATATCATTTTGAACTAACAGGATAGATAGATAGATAGATAGATAGATAGATAGATAGATAGATAGATAGATAGATAGATAGATAGATAGATAGATAGATAGATAGATACTCATGAACCTTTGCTTTCCTCTGTGGGGGGTTTATTTGATTGATTTCTTTATATTAGGGTTAATTGGTCAGATCTGTATTTTTTTTTAAATATTATTTCTAAATTTTCCAGTTTCATTTTAACTTTTAATAACAGTACTGGCCATGGGAAGTTTGACACGTAAGTAGTAACAGGTCCCTTTATAATAAATCGAAGGCCCTCGTTCTGCTGTAATACAGTGACTTTGCGAACTACAAGACACCGATGCTCTCAGGTCACAAAGGTCCCAGGGTGCTGTACGATCCTGCTTTCACTCGGTGGGAATTTTGCCATTGATTTCAATGGACGCAAGATCAAACCCCAGAGTCCACTTGTCTTCATCAGGGGAGCAGTCCCATTCAGGCGACAGGTAAATGAGGGAGAGGGATTTGATTTCTAGGTCCCCAGGCTGTAAACAAGCAAAAAATCGTCTATGGTTTTAGACTGCTGAGCTAGAATTGATATGCAAACTAGATACAATCAACTCAGGATTGAACAAGGACTGGGAATGGCTGAGCCATTACAAACATTGAATCTATCTCCCCTTGTAAGTATTCTCACACTTCTTATCAAACTGTCTGTACTGGGCTATCTTGATGATCACTTCAAAAGTTTTTTTCTCTTACTTAATTGGCCTCTCAGAGTTGGTAAGACAACTCCCACCTGTTCATGCTCTCTGTATGTGTGTATATATATCTCCTCAATATATGTTCCACTCTATATGCATCCGAAGAAGTGGGCTGTAGTCCACGAAAGCTTATGCTCTAATAAATTTGTTAGTCTCTAAGGTGCCACAAGTACTCCTGTTCTTTCTATGGTTTTAAAATCTTCTCACCACTGTATGCCTTTGAACTTTGCCCCATTGAAATAAATTCGGCGTTCTCCCTAAATATTGAGGTCACTCGAATATTTTTTTAAATGTACTTCTGCAGAGTGAATGGATTTTACCATTCTGAAAAATGTTCAAAGGCCAGCTAGAAATGTGCGGAAAATAGTGACCAAGGAAGAAAAGAACAAAGTCTCCTTTCCATTATGAAAACGGAGCAAATGAGCCCAGTACTAAAAGTCAATGTGTGTGTGAAGTCGATGCTCACCGTTGCCCTGCAATCCCTGGATTTTAACATCAGAAATCTACCTTAGGGAACGGTCTCAGACATATCCGGCACAAGTGACAGGCGCTACTTAACAGAGGAGGCCTCAAATGAGCATGAGCACAGTGGTACTTGAAAGAAGGATGTGAGGCTGCCTACATGCCCCCCCCTCTTCCCTACCCCCCCCCCACCACACACCGGCTGAGTGTGAGAAACTGAAATCGCAGCGCTGGACAGAGTCGGTTGTACAAAAGGCTTTGCAACATGGATCAGGAAAAGGAGAGTGGTTAACTTGCCTTCTCTCTCCTTTCATTAGCGAGGTGGGCTGTCTAAACCAACTCAGATCACTTCCGCTGTACACTTCAGAAGCTAGAAACAAAATACATGGAAAGCTATAGAGATTAGAGTGGCATCTTCCCTATTTTATTAACCTAAGTGTTTTCCCTGACCGTCAAAGACTTTTTCTATTTAATGCATTTTATTCTATATCCATTGTTTCATTCCCATTCATCCTTTATTTACATTAAACGTTTTGTTTTAAATATTTTTCATGCTATACGAAGAGAGTTGTCATTTTCAACAGCACTAGGCCACTAAAGAATAGAAGTTTATTCATTTTTCGTGCCCTAGACCTTGAAAGCGTCAGACTATTGCCTATACATATATCTTTTCATAATGACCTGTATTTGAAGGGAGGTATCATCCGATCACTTTAAAAAATATAAGACTTTAGGTGCCCGGTAGAGACCATAGAGTTAAAACAACGCAAGGAGATCTTGAATGGGGCAATGAAGAAACATGCTAATCACAATGTGGCGCCAGGGTAAAGGGATTTTTTTTAAGATCCCTTTAAAGTCTTTTTTTAAGATAAGACTGCCCCAGGTTTGGTAGGTTTCAGAGTAGCAGCCGTGTTAGTCTGTATCCGCAAAAAGAAGAACAGGAGTACTTGTGGCACCTTAGAGACTAACAAATTTATTAGAGCATAAGCTTTCGTGGACTACAGCCCACTTCTTCGAAGGTGCCACAAGTACTCCTGTTCTTCCAGTTATAACAGTTAAGCAGAAGCGAATGGATAAATGCAGGTGTTTGGAGATAAAGTTTGGGCTACAATTTGCTGATCTGCCTTCCTTTTTTGCGCGAAATTTTCAAAAGCCTTGCAAAGTAAACTCCCCAAGAAGCAAGCTGTCTCGGGCTAGCATTTTGTTCCTGTTTAATTAACATTAATGTTGTGTTGATGCCTTCTGCTTGGCTGCTGCAGCATTCAGAGCTGGAAGTGTCTGCTTGTATTAGCGGGGGCGAAATCTTAGATTCCTCTTTAGATAGGAATGTGCAAAAGGTTGGATCACAAACCAGTGGATATTGCCGGGTTTAACCTGGGAGAAATGGGGGGTAGATTGTTAATATGAAATGAAAAACGCTGAGTGGATTTTTAAAAGGGGGGAAAGATGGCCGTTTCCAGCTCCGGGATTTTCACGTTAGACCTTTTCCTAGTGACTAGTTTCAATTCGACCCTGAATCATTTATTTCAGGTCATTCAATCCTTCCGTACTGCTGTCTAATTACGGAGAGGAACTCTGTCCTCTGGAAGGAGGGATTCCCCTATTAGGAGTTAAAGGATGCATCAAAGCAAACATTTTACATTTAGTTCCAACTAGTAATCAGATCCCCAGACAAGCCAGGAATTGGGCTCAGTAGAAATGGCTTGCGATAAATCAGTTTCACACAATAACTGCTTTTCTCCCAACAGGGATATGGGCTCAGAGCTGTATTTCGGATTGCTCCCAGGCAAGACCATGGCAGTACAGCGTCAGAGAGTTTGGGAAGGGAGCTGTGACGAGGGGATCTCATTTTTGGGGGGAGAGGTAATAACAAAGGGTAATGAAGCGGGCAGTGCTGGACGAAGAAGGAGATCCACTCCTGGGAAATCAGTCTCGGTAAAGGGACCAAGCAGGCAGATTTGTGCTGAGTGCCTGTAATTGCTGAGATAGATTTAGGGTTAGGGCAGAAAGAATCTAAGGCCTTTCTTCGACCTGGGGAGAAAAGGATCTCCATCGGAGGGTGACATCCTGGCCCCCACTGAATTCAACAGGAATTGTGCCACTGACTACAATTCAGCCAGGTTTCCACCCAAGCTTTTTTTCCGGGGCTGGGAACAGGGAGGTGAGAGTTGACGCGGATCATTGCTACGGAGAGAGGCCTGAGGATACTGTTGCTGGGCGGAAGAGGGCGCTAAATGCTTCTCCCCGGGAAAGGGTGGAATTTAAGGCCCCGCTGTGCAAACCCTGCTCGCCAGCAGTCCAGGCAAAAACCGAGTTTGCAGGCTCGGGTCCTTGCTTTATCATTCCGGGATAAAGAGCTGCCTGACAGCTCCCTAGCGGTGTGGGGACATGCCGATGGGACTGCGATAAATGAAATTAGCAGATCAGAAAGAATGTAGCTAGCCGAAAGTTTTCATTTTGCGTTGTGTTTTCCAGTTTCTAACTGGGGTATAAACTAAAGGAATAACACACAGGGTTGTGTACCCACGGTCATGCGGTATGTCCTTTATATTTAATCTGCAGTTCTAAAAAGTATGCAAAGTATTGTAGAATCATTCGACTACGTCTGCTTATAAGTGCGTGTGTGTGTAAACCAAATTACACTCGATGCTGACTTTTTCTTATATCAAATCAGAACACACACAGATTTTGTAACCATTTCACCCACTCAAGCTTTCTGCAGGGGTTTTCTTTTAGTGCTGTTATTTTACCCCTGGCATAGGTTGGAGACATGGATGGACTCTGCTCACCCGGTTTGGATGATGTCAAGAGTCTCCCTTGCAAAGGTGTCCCTCAAACCTCTGTCTGCACCAGCCCTCGCTTGACTGGCGGACGTCAATGGGTGCTTTTGCATCCCTAAATAACAGATTAGGAGCCAAATTCTACCCTCGCTTACAAAGTGCAACCCGCTCTAACACCATTTACATGACGCCGGAGTAACGGTTGATTCACGTTCCCAAGGATTCCAGCGTGTGATCTTTAGCAGCTCTGCCCACATCTCGGACATCATCTGGTTCAGAGCCCGCTGATGTCAATGGACTAACTTCAGCAGGCTTTGGAGCCCCGGCAGCCGTATATTGCCTAGAAAAAAAATGGCCAGCGCTGGGAAGGGAAATTGACATTACTTTAGTGATTTACGTCCACGAGGCTCAAAACAAACGGCAGTTTTCTTTCCCCACAAAAGAAGTCAGGTCAAAGTCATAGCCACCGTTGTACACAAAGGGAAATGTCATGCACGAGGGGGGGAAGAGTTGGTTTTATTATGAAGTAACAGTAGAAGAAAGGGGAAAAGGCACCACTAAACCCTTGGTATGTTACATAAAGTGGTTGGATTCGATCTTAATCTAGTCAATACTCGTGTCAATCAGATCTGTGATGATGATGGCTAGACGTGTCTAGTTATTTTCACTGATTAGAAAAGATGTGGAAATTCCACTGAAGGTTTGAGACCTTCCCTAACCGGGGGGAAATGCGTATAGTTCGCCCTTCACCGCTACATCAGGGATACGGTGACTGCGTGAGTGGCCGCAGGTATTTAAAAATCAAAGCTACCAGGGATATCATTCCATGGAAGGGGTTTCGCACTGGAAACCATAACCTCCCAATTGTATTACACATCTACCACTTTTCCGAGTTCTATTCCGAACCGCAAGAAGTCCACCGGGACATCATAGGTAGACTAGGAGTGCCAATTGGCCGTGTATATTTATATATTCCTAGAAGAACAGCATGTTCACATTAAAGTTATTGCAGTATTCCGATTAATCCATTTGCTGAATTAGCCTCGTCTTCCTACCTGGGATTTTTCTATCCTTTTTTTTAATTGTAAAGAATTAATATTGTGCTAACAAGGTTTTAAAGACACGGTAGTTAGTCTAGTTCGTTTTAGATAGTATTGGAACGCTATTAGTACAGTACATTTATGGCGATTGAATATTCTTTTTTTCCAGGAAGTATTAAAAGCACGTCTCTTATGTGACATAACAGTGCGTGCCTGGGCTGTATTTACCAGGGTGCCATTCAGCATCAGTGGCTTTTTTCAAAATAAGGTGTTGTGCACCGAGATCCCAGCCAAACGCAAGCCTAAACCCCCTATGAATTTGGTGCCTTTTAAAAGAAGGATTTCCAACTGGCCTCCTAATAGCTGACAGAGGGACATAAATGTCGCAGTCATTCTTGCACGGGCACACACAGAGTGTACAACAAATTTAAACCCTCCTTATAGATCTAGTTATATAAATTATCTGTCTCCAGCCATTTGTGAAGATGCTAATTACACCGCTACCGAAAAGAAAGCGGACATCGAAGGGTCAGCTAAATGGCAAGCATGCTTGTCTAAATGTTTTGTCCTTTGAACATGAAACCCAACACATCAGCACAATGTTTCCAAATGATAATCAGATGTTGCTTTCTGGAGCTGTGGCTCTCCTCACACAGTGGTGCAACACTGCTGTATCTAACCACTGGTAATTATACTGTGCTCAGAAACAAGGGAGCTATACTAGAAAGTTTAATATACTCTGAATTATTTTTCTTGCCCACTATTTTTAAAGGATGATATATGCATTTCTCCTTTCTAGTATATCATATTAGCATTTTAACCCTGTTAGATAGGCCACTCTTTCTAAATAAGTACTTATCAACATCCAAGTGCTTTGAAGAAAATAAAGTCATTTATTGTCAAAGCATCCAACATACCCAGATAAACTATAAAGTTGAATAAAATCTTTTTTAAGGGAAAAAAAAAGAAACACATAACTATGCAGACTTCATTTCACTGGCACAAAATTACACTTTGTATTAAAAGGAAATACATATTTACAGAATTGAGGACATTCTGCACTGAAGTCCATAATCATTTCATGATACATGCACTTCCCCCTTGGAAACTTAAATAGTGTCAAGTCCTTTTTTAATTTTTTTTTTTTGTAAAGAACACAAACTGTCATCAAATGCAGAAAGCATTGCATCCTCCTTCCTTTTTTTTTACTTTATATCTAAAATAAAAATTTACCCTTACATATAATTATTACATCTAAACCATAAGTGCTTAATAATTTAAGTAGAAAGGTATGACAAATGCATCAATATGTTGCAATATATGACATTTTTAAAAATGTACTTTATTAGTTTTAAAGTTTTTTTATTTTTATTTATTTTTTTGGGAAAGTGAAAATGCGTGCATTCGAACAGAAGAAAGAAAAAAAATCCAACCCTTCCCCCTCTTGGTCTGGTATGCTGCAAGGTAAAGGCCTACACTTTCAAAAGTGACTAATGACTTGGGGTGTTTGTTCAAAAGGAGACACCTTCAAGAGGCC